GGAAAATTAGTATTGGTTCCATGTTGAAAAACTCATTTAAAAATGAGACTGAAAAATGCTACTTTATGCCAGTAATTAATCCAATCAATTAGACCTGTCAAAATAATATTAAGGCATTTTAGGGTCTAAATTCAGATTGGATTTCAAGACTTTTTGAGACCCTGTGGATTAAATTAAAGGGTTTCAGTTATATGGATTAATTTCTTAAAACGAGTGGGTAAAAAACAAGAATTTTTTAAGGGGTTGCATTGAGCTGCAAGCTGGTTGGAAAAGTTTTGAAAACTCAGCAGAAAACTAGGTTGAATAATTTGAACTACAGTTTGGTGTAAATGAACATCTCTGAGGTGGCTGCCAACAGTCTGTCTGTAAGAAAACAAAGGCTCAGTATGTAAAAAGAGATTCTGCAAGTGATCATGAATGAACTGTCTTTGATAATTAATAATGCCATAAAAATGAGCACTGAGGATAAAATAGAGCAAGCTGAAACAGTAGCAGGAGTTCCCACTGATTTTAGCCTGGTGTTATTTCAGCCAGACGGTCAATAAATGTCTACGCTTGTTTCTAATAGAAGCTTATAGGAGGCTCTTTACCCCAAAGGTGTTTTCTGATGAACAGTCTGGATGAGTCTTAGCCTGAGGCTTTGTTGATGGAAGTTGGTAAGGGGTATTCTGCATCATGCGCTGTGCTGGTGAACCTGTCAGGTGCACCCTTGCCTGGTGTCTTCAGACTGGTTCTACTTCATCTACTTTCTTCATAAATTAAATCAATGTGGGGGGCGTGGAAAGGAGAGTGCTCCAATCCTATGCTCCAGCAGTTCTTAACTACACATGGCAGGTTTTTTAATCTGTCATCTCACTCTATCATAGCAATGTATGCAAATTATTCAGTCAGCATTCGTTCTTTGGCAGCCGCCTCCACCACCAGAGTTCTACGGTGTACCCGCTTGGATCGCATCCCAGCTGGAGAAGTCTATTAGCTTCCTCACTCGAAATGAGCTGACGCGGTGTTATTTAGTTTAACATGAGAGGCCTTTGAGTCTCACCTCAGTGCCCATGTCCTTCATCCTGGCCAGTGCCAGCTCTCTCAGGTTGCCGTGCTCCACTCCGGAGCTCACCAGCGGCATGGGGATGTCCCTGACAGGAAGCAGGGAAAAGACAGAGGATACAGACACCTTTAAAGTGGGATATCACAGATAAAGATAAATCTGTACCTCCATCCATCCATTCTAATTCAATGCAGATCATTCTGTATTTATGAATATAGTATTTCACTGACAAAGACCAGTCACATGATGTCATCCATAGCAACAGGATCAACTCCGCCCTTTCTCTTAGCTTAGGAGTCCTGTTTGTTCCTCACTAAAAGAGTCTCTCAGCAGCTCAGCAGTGTTCTTTTATACTGTGTACATAACATCAACATACACAAGACAAGAGTCTTGGCTATTTCGTCAAATTGGCTGAAACAAACTTTTAAATCCAAAACAGAAAAATCAACAGAAAAAGTTGTTTTTACACACATATATATATGTATATATATATACACTGTATATATGAAAATAGGGTTTATTCTACAGTCACCTCTGTCCAACCATCACCAACAGACCCATGCATTGTCTCACCTCTGCACCCGGTAGACTCGCGTCCAGGGTGGCACCAGCGCCAGGATTCGGGCAACCAGGTCCACCAGCGCACTGGGATTGTAGCTCTTGTACCGGCCCGTCTTCCACAGCTCATACAGACCCGTACCTCGGATCACCAGTGTTGGGTACAGCTTCAAGCCGTCGGGCCTAAACGCTGGATTCTCAAAAAACTCCTGCAGGAAACACAAAGATCCATGTAACGCTTTCTGTGTAAAGCAGACTCCTCTTTCTCTGCATCCATGCTTGTTGTGGAAATACTGGAGCTGAACAAAAACTCAAACATTCACAGCCGCCATTACACTTTGTTTCTCATTAGTCTTCTAAAAATGGCATTTCTGACACAATCTGAAACTCAAGATACTCAAGAATTGAATGAATGAATTACATTTACTTGACTTTACCTGTTTTACCACACTTTATTATGGACTGCAGTTTATTGTACACTGCCATATCTGCAGTGTTAAATTTGACTGTCATGCTAACAGACAGATGTAGCTTCTTTCAATGAGAAAAAGGGGACAAAGAATGAAGAGAAAGGAAATAAAAGTGGCTTTAAAGAAATGCCCTAGGATTTTAGCATCAGTGAAAAGTGTCAGAACATTCAATAAAAAGGGATTTCTTTACAAAGGCACTGACTCCTAAACGTAAGAGCAGATGTTGAGAGCTTATGAAGCAGATATCAAAGAGACAGCACAATGGTGCTCAGTTATTCAATTGAAGGAAACAAATTTTGCCGTCTCATTTAGTGCATTGAAGGGAATCAGTGTGATTTCCAGTCATTCCCCCCCTCCCCCACTGACTATCATGATCAGAACCGTGAAGATCTGGAATCGAGGCACATTCTCCAAAATAGGCCGCATTATCAGCATCTCATAATCTCCCTCTCTCGTCACAGCTCATAATCACCCGAGGACATGTCCCACACAGCCCCTCGCTAAACCTAAAGGGAGGGCGGGAGGGAGCCAGTTTGACAAATAACAATGCTTTCATACCCCCCCAAAAAAACCAGAGACTAGACACTATTTTGGGGATTTTGCACCTGCTACCATTTTGGATCACATATCAGGGCTCCTGTTGGTCGGTGGAGAGGAACCCTGTTATGGATGCCTCCACCCCCCGGGACAGGGAGCATCTGTACAAGAGAGATAAGTAAGAGAGGATCTCAGGCTGGGAGGAAGTTGTAATCGAATTTCATTATCAGGACAGCAACGACGAACGCGAGGAGGATGCAGCGTCCTCCTGCAGATGCCCACTGCGGCTCCTAAACGGGTCTGTCATCCTGGCTGACCAGCATGATACACACAAACAACAGATAATGGATGAAAAGGACGCATATGTATGAATGAGTGCGATGAATGCAAACAGAAAAGAAAATCAAGAGATCCCTGCTTCCTTAAGCTGGCAGCCAGTACTGAAGAGCTCTGCACTGAGACGGCCTGAGTGGAAACATTATCAGCAGTTTTCACTGAGGTTCTTTTATATTTAAGTAAACATCGCTCCACTGAAACCTCAGCTGCTACTTGCGTCATATCTGCAGCATTTGCTTCCAATTCTCATCATATTTGATACTGCAAGCAAACAAAATCTGTGAGCTGGAATCCTCATTAATGCCGCCCATTCATTATATTTCCCTGCTTAATCCTTTAATGGGTCACAGGGCAGCCGGAGTCTTAATTTTAGCCATAATTGTGCAGCCACAACTATTTTGCTCAGTCTTGAGATAACAAATATTTATCCAGATTTTTCATCCATTCTTTAAAAATTGATGGTTTGCTTTAAAGCCCGTGTGTCGATTTTTATGTTATTTTTATGTCATCTTTAAATTCATTCTGATGGCTTAAGTTTTGGTTTGTAGAAGAATGTAGACAACGCAGTGAAAACTGGCACGTGCTTCCATTCATTCCCATGCTAACACATCCAGCAGAGGCAGAGCAACATTAGCATTTACTAAAATCAAAACAACGAGCTAAAAGACCAGCCAGGCCGAATGCACACTAACGTGTTAAGAATACAAATGTATACCATGATTGTGAAAAACTCTACACTCATCTCTACCTTATTTCCCCATTCTTTCTAATATTTTCCACTACTCCCACTTCCTTTCTTCCTTTCCAGATGCACCCTGTGTTCCAAGTGTAGCAGTGGATTTTTATGGATCCCAGGAAAAAGTCCTGAGATGCTTAGCTTGGATCCTGGAGGGAAGATGTTTAAGAACCTGCATATTTTTCCCTCTCACTAGCACCAAGTGTGACATGGAAGATAAGATATGATGAGGGGGAGCAAAGGGGAGCCATGCACAAGTTGTATAATCTGAAAGTGTCAGCGTGATAAGAGAGGAGGGGAGGGAGGCAGAGAGGGAGACGAGAGAGGGGAGATAGATGAAGTGACAGGAGAGATGGGAAGAAGGGAGAGAGTCTGACAGAAGAGAGGAGAGAGTGTCAAGTGAAAAGTTATGAGTGGAGAGGACAGAGGGAAAAAAAGATAAAGTGAAAGATAATGAAGACAAGGGAGACAAACAAGGAGACAGGAAAGAGAAAATATTGAGAGTGCACACTGGGAGAAAAAACACAAGCAGAGACAAAGAAAGAAATTAAGTCTGGTGAGAGGAGAAGTGACAGAAGAAGTGTTACAGGAAAGAAAGAAAAAGACTCTGAGGGCCAAATACACATTTAATCTGCTTCCTCTCACAGTGCCGACCTGCTGCTGCCCCCCGTATTACCATCAAACACACATTCACACAGAGAAGTGGTTCAGTAAACATGCACACACTGAGGTAATGTAACAAATCTGCAAGGAGACACACACTCTCTTCCACATCTTAAATCTCTCTCTGTAAAAAACAAAGCTCAGAAGATTGACAGTGTCCTGAGTGCCTTCATCAATATACAGTACTTTCCCACTTTCCCCAGTCAGCGCTAACAACAACACACAAAAAGAACTTCTAAAAACTGAAAAAGGGATTTGCTTTCACACAACTCTAAATAACTCCAGCGTCCGATCTACGTTTTCCGGAAAATCAATAAGACAACGGTTAAATCCCTTCCCCGTTGTCCTCTTTTGGTCATTAAACAACAAAACTGTGCATCACAGCTGACATCTGGTCAGCAGTGGGGCAGACATTTTGGTTTCTCCACTGAGTCTCAGCTCATTGAACCTCCATTCTGTTCTTTCCTGCTCTCTGAAGTCATTATCAGTAGGATGCCTTTTAATTACAGCCCTAACGATATTAACTAATATTAGCTATTAAAGATAATATCAGCACATGATAACTTCTTGACTTCTCGTCTTTTAGGAAGAGAGTGTAAAGGCAACAGAAAAAATAGATCTTAAAAAATAGATTTTAGTTCTGTCCCAAGTTACAGTGGGGGTGACTGTAATATTATTACTGAAATGTATTAGTAATTAGTTACATTACTAGTTAATGAGGAAAGTAATGTTATTACTGTAATTTAATTAATACTAGTATTGAGTTACTGCCTGACACTGCCCATGACAAATGGTATAGTATATAGCCATGGTATAGTGCAGACAGCGACACGGCAAGTAAAGTAACTATGGTTAGCTGTGTTGTGGGTTTGCAAACTATCACTACAGCTGTTGCTGTGTAGCTATCATGCAGAAGACGAGACGGTTTCCCAGAGCCAGTACACCAGCACCAGACTGCAGTACTCACCACTCTCCTGCTCCTATAGTTAACATCACAACAACAGGAGGTCTTGACAAAATCATAAGTTGAGTGTCTGTGGGCAGTTAACGTTACCTGACACACAGATCCTAGCTGGAATAACAACTTAGTGTTGTGTGGCTCGGCCTGATCCACTCGTTTTGTTTCCCATTTACAGAGCCAGGGCTGTGTCCAAATATCGGATTTTTTTCTAGTGCACACAGAGAGCAGAAAGCTTGAGGACTGTGAGGGGATTTTCTCTGAATTATATTAAAAAAGTATTGAATAAGAATTGCTTTTCTAATTAGTGAGCTTTAGAGGTGCCAGTAGGTGTGGCTCTAGGGACGGCAATACAGCTAAAACAATTAGTCCATTAACTGATTAGTTGTCAAATATTAAATTAATTGGCAACTATTCTGTTGATCAATTAATCATGTTGGTTTTTGTCAAAAAATGTTCAAATTCTCCGATTTCAGCTTCTTGAATGTCAGTAGATTCTGCCTTCTTTACTCCTCTATGACTGAAAATCTTTGGGTTGTGGACAAAACTAAATCTTTCCCAATTTTGGTACATTTTATTGACCAAATAACTAATTGATTAAATAAGAAAATGATCCAGGATATTTGGTCATTTCAATCAGTTTCCAGGTGTCTCTAAATATCCAGATTATCAAGGTTTTCCAGGACACATGGGAACCCTGACTGATCCTCTGTCATCTAACTTGAAGCACTACTTAACTGCCACACAGTGGCCGACCGGACTTATGTCGTCAATATCCAAAAGAGATAGAAAATTACAGTTTTAGTGAAATGATACTCTTATGTTTCATAGGTCAACCCTTGCAGCTTTCGTCTGAATGTCCTGTCCTTTTTCCGTTTTAATTTGTAGCTCATCATAGAGGACAATCAAGGTTCTGAACTTCCTCCTCTGTAGACAGCGCTGTCATGCAAAACCCCATGAAGCATCACACTGCCAGTAATCAGCAATAAAAAAATACAGAAACAGTTGATTTGAGGGAAAAGGAGGGAGACATTGTCACTATTGCTACTTCTGAGATGATGAGTGACACATTTTGAGATAAGAGTCACAGCGGTGCGTCAGTCTCACCTGCACCAATTAGTAACATATTTTCTTTCGCTTCATTGTTTTTTTTAAATGACTGGATTTCTGTTTTATCAATGTAAAAATAAACCAGATGAGCTTCAAACGGAGTCTTCATTTACATCCTACAGTCAGGCATGTTGGGAGGGAGCCCTGTCTGCTTCTGCACATTCATATTATAGCTGTGTTTCCAATCAGAGCTGTAAAGTGAGCCTGCTGTTGAAAGACATCTGACTGTCACAGCTTTTCTTTTTCTAATTTAAGATGCTACATGTAGTACTTACTTGTTCCTATACCACTGTGAGATAAGTAGTGATGACGCACCCTGATGCAGAGAAAAAGAAGAAGACATGATTGCTCATGTCACAAACAATAAACTTAATAATCAACTTGGTGCATAACTTTACTGGTACTATTCTAAATCTGGAGCTTTTATTCATTTTGTTTCTGATGTTAATGAATGATTTCTCTACCTGAAACTCAATAATATTATGTCATATAAACTGAACCATGAGTTCCAGCTCAACTCAATGCAGTGATTTGCAACTATAAATTACAAGTTGTTTCCAATCCAACTAACCTCTTTGATTAGCTTAAAACCAAACATGTATGATGAATCTTTGACATCCTTGGTTGGATTTTCCGCTGAAGACCTCTGTATCTACACTATTAAACTGTCCAAGGATGGTGAAAATGACAAAAAAAAAAAAGAACAAACGAAAGAAAAAACAATGCTGTGACACCGGTACTTTAACGATAGACTGTAAAATCAATAACTTTGGGTCTGAAAAGTAAAGCCAACGCAGATGTGTCTTAAACCTGCATTCTTTGTAATGGCCAGCAGGGGAAGATTCCACTGAAGCCCGATTGTATGTAATGTCAAAATGAGCCAACTTCTCACTTGATTTATTAGCTCAGTAAACTGTTTCCTATGGAGTTTGTGTTCTCAATCTCTAGTGTTAAGTCTCCTTCCATACAGCATGATGTTCATTNNAGAGTAAAATAGACGATAAAGCTAGGCACGCTTTATGGAATGGCCAGCTTGTGATTGATAAGTCGCTACCATGGCGTGCCCTTGGATTTACAGTCATATCCAAATAGGACAGAGGTGTAGCAATGCACATCCTCTCCAGCTCCACCCCTCGTCCAAATATAATCCTTTCTGGCTCCAAAAAAAAAACAAGATGGCCACAATGCCAAACTCAAGGCTTGAAAAAAAAAAGGGAGTCCATAAACCAACTGGTGACGCGACATAACACTAAGCCACAAACATTTCATCCAGAGGCCAGATGCACTGTAGACACTGTAGATTCACGACTAAAACGTGAATGTATCTGTGTATGCACACGGATAGAAATATGCCCAACCATTCATTTTGGATTGACCTATAAAGCCTGTTCTATAAATATTATTTTGGTGCACGAGCATCACTCCAACAGTAGGCCATAAATGGAGGAAGACACCCTCCCAATCAACTGTTTGCATATCAGTACCTCTGTCAGTTTCCTCACTCTTTAGTCCCGTCAATGAAAAGAACAGCAAGGAAGATGTGACATTTTGTCTATTGTGCCACACTGACGAGGTCCTCCAACTATGCAAGAGCAGCCATCATAACACAGGACTGTGGCTATTTATAGCATGTATCATTAATTCATCAGCGGTGATATCTCAGTCATCATTATCAAAGGTCAGGAACATAATCAATGATTTAGATCATAGCGCTGATATCAAAGCAGACGCTACAAAAGTTCTCCACATTAAAGGTTAAAATGAAAACATTCACACAGGAAAATAAAATACAATAATGATACATTTATCACATAACTGTACTAAATTATGTTTAGAAACGCACTTTTCTTCTCCAGGTAATTCATAATTTCTAACTCACACGCTTGTTCTGCATAATTAAAAACAAAAAAAATTGAAAGATTGAAATTATAAGGGAAAGAATTATGTATTCTGATATTTCTTGTTATCGTCTGATGATTAAATTATACTGTGATATAAACCGAATTACTATGGCAATTTGGTCAGCTTGACTGACAGTGTATGATGCCAACAATCCTTTTTATTTTAGGAGCACACATCTACTGGGGACAAATATGTTATGCAAGAATTATTTTTACTTTAAACAACTAAGTAGTTTTGTTTTTTAAAAATTCAAATCAAGGTCAAGGCCTGGATATGACCAACTCAACATTTGCAGAAAAACATCCCAAACTCTCTTATAATTCTGTATAAATGACTCACCTAAGATGCTCAAAATAACAACAAATCATATTTGTGAATGCTTACAATGAACTGCTCCACATCCCTCTCCATGCCCACGTTAGGCAGATCTGGCATCATGTGGGCGACTACTTTGAAGCCGGCGTCCTTTGAAAGGTGGAAAGACTCGCACACGGCTCGCACCGTGTGGCCTCTGGAAGAAACACACACGTCCAAATACAGAAATGTTACATTATTAAGCCTGAAGGTAAAAGAAAAAAACACTAATCTATCCATCGCACACACTGTCACACTATGCTTCTGCTTTCTTATCTACATCCATCCCTTCACTCCCACCCCCCCGACCTGCTGACCTGTTGGTGTCGCGGGCCACGTCTTCATACACACTCTGGACTCCTATCTCCAGCCGGGTGCAGCCGTAGCCCAGCATGTCGCTGAGGTGTCGTTTCAGGCAGTAGTCGGGCCGAGTCTCAATGGTGATCCCCACACACTTGGTGTTGCTGCGCTCAGAGTACCTGCGGGAGAAAAAAACGTGTCAGTCGTCTCCGTTTACGCTCATAATAGGCTCATATCTTATCTCATTCTTGTTTTGATAGAATAAGGTTATTTTATTTGACTATTTAGTCTTACTGACTGTGTTGGAGTGCTGTATATGCTGGGCTCATTTAGCAACATCAATTTAGCTGCTGTGAGTTTGCACGGCTCATTATCCAGACCTAACCTCACATTAATGCAATAAAGGAAACAGATGAGAGTCAAAGGAAAGATGCTTGTAATGCAAAATATGTTAAATGAGACATTAATGAGTGTTTAGTTTGTGTCAAAAGCAAGTTAAACACTTAAATGATTCAGTCATTAATAGGTCCCGACTGTGGAGATAATTTGTCAATGTTTTGTTTACAGCTTGTTGAGCTGCACCAAAATGGGCAAAAAAAAAAAAAAAACAGTCAACAGTCCAGGCAGGTTTTGATTAATGTACAACAGCATTCATTGGCAAGCTATCCAATGATTTTACAAAAACACTTGTAATGACTTTTCAGTGAAGTAACATCTACTTCCAACCCCATTTCCAGGCAGACCTTTAAAGGAAGATAAAATACTGAGTTACAGTTCATATATTTCTTTTCTGATTAAGCAAGATTCCTGATTTGTTGTTTGGTCCATAAAATGGTGGTATTTATTTCCAAAGCCCAAGGTGAACCAGAAAATATTCATTTAAGAAGCTGAAATCAGAGAATTTTTATTTAAAAAATAACTCAAAATGATTAATCAATTATCAAAATAGTTGACAACTAAATCGGTTAATCAACTAATTTGTCCAATTATCGGACCATATGCATCAATCTTCCCAAAATGAGTCGTCCAGTCCTTCAACTCCCTCTCCATCCCGACTCTTTAATTACTTAGTTTTCAGTAACTGTTAAATATTTGGAAAAATGTACGACCATCAAACCTAACCCACTGATTCCCCAACAGTACGCCAACTTCAACCCTTTGTAACTGATCACCAAACCAGGTCCCGGCTGCATGCCGTGTGACCAGGGCTCATGGAGAACAGCAGCCAGATGTAGAAACTATAGGTGACGCATTCAGTCTTTAAATGTAATCTCAAAATAGATGCTGAACTTCATCTGTTCTGAATACGGCTGCACCGCTACTTCTAAACTTATCTGAGTCACTGATCGAAATTGCGAAAAAACAAAACAACAAAAGCGATTGAGCAGACACGTCTCATCCCAGCACACCAGCCAGCTGTCATTTTCTCCACTCCAGCTGCTCCAATGACCATTAGCTCCCCTCATGCCAGCTAATATTCCTTCTGATTCTGTATCTGCTGGCAATAAATGTCCATCTTTTACAGTCTGCTGGCTGATTTACACCAATTACAGGAGTTTATGCTCCAGAGAGGATGATCAGATTGTATGAAATGAATCAATAAAAACTCTATTATCTCAGGCGATTATCTGGAGGTATCTCGCCGCTGTGATCAGATCAGGAGCGAGGGTAAGCATGGTGGGAAACAGAGATTGGAGCGGCGTCATGCACGCACACTTTCTTCAAGACACGCGCACACATGAACACACACACACGCACACACATACACACACACACAGGTGGAGATAAGAGCTGTCCCCAGCCATACCAAGCGCCTCCTCCTTCAACTGAGCAGCAGTCGTCACAATTACCCCAATCACAGCATCTTAACGAATAATGCTGATAGCAGAGCAGCAGATTCAGGCAGACTTAGCTTACTCACGGTGACGCACACACACACACACACGCAGCAAGAGAAACACACACACACACAAACTGGCCTCTCGGGTCTTATCGGACTTTAAGGAATTAAATAGCCCCCTCTGACAAACAAACAGCCTCAGTCAGCGCTGTGAAAAAGCCATTATTTGGTCAAATCGTCTGTATGACGTCTTCAACTCTTCAACAAATGGGTATTTCTACTTTGACTTTGAATCTTCTCCAAGTCGTCTGAAAAGTTGCGACTCATCCATACTGAGCAGACGCGCAGGCCAATTTCATTCAACGCGGGCCTAACTCAGTAAGTGAGGAATCGATGGAAATAACTGAGGAGGACTTATTGAGAGCGGCCTCGCTTATTTTGCTCCTGAGGTCTGAATGGCTCCATTCAGCGGTTTTAATGTGTGGAGATAATCATTATATATAGCTTCCTATTGGATGTATGGTGTTTAGTTGAGGTGGGGTAATGGAGAGAGGGGTGGAGTGCGGTGAATGGTTGTGTGTGTGAGTGTGTGTGTGTGTGTGTGTGAGTTCTTAAGTTGAGTCCATGTTTTTTATTTATGAGTAACAAATGTCACAAATATTGTTGAAAACATCTGAAGAGGAGATATGGACTTAGGAGGACTGAAGCAAGTAGTCAAATAATGGACTAGTTAAAAGAGAGGTTCTATAATTTGGTAATTATTCAAGTCATTGATCAAGGAAGAATACCAAACAGCCTCTGGTTCCAGCCTCTCAAATTTGCTTGTTTTCTCTGTTTTGTCTTACTGCAAATTCAATATCTTTCAGTTTTGAACTAGTGGTTCACAAAACAAGAAATTTAAATCACATCCGCTCAGGGTCTGAGAAATGTTGTTTTTAACAATTTTCTGTAAATAAATAAATAAATAAATAAATAAATACAAATAATACAATATTATTAATACATATAATTGTCAAAAACAACCCACAGATTATTTGATAATCAAAATAAGTGTTTGCAGCCATAAAATTACACTGCTGTGCAAAATGAGGCCTTATACTTCATCTTGAAATGTTGTATTTTACATTGATGTAGGTAAATCCAGATGATGTGTAGAGGAAAGCTAAGTGACTGAGTGCAGGAGAGATGCTACAAATGGTGAAATAGCTCCCTCTAGTGGAGACTGGTGATTATTCTCAGATGAGGTACTTGGCAGTTGCATTGTATGACACCTACAAATACTGAACTGATAATCTTTTATGGAGCAGATATAAAAATTCTAAAAACTGTCAAAGCAGTAATCTTGCTTCAGAAGTTCACAGTAACTGTAACTCCAGTATGTCTCATAGCTGTATTGGAGAAAGTAAGACACACCACCAAAATAACTTGTTGTAAAAATACTTCCAAATAAAAGTCCTCCATTGACAATGTTACTTTAGTAAAAGCATGTGAGTATAATCAGGAAAATAAAAAGACTCAAATATTAAAAGTAAAAGTACGCAAAGCTTGAGTACTGCAACTATTGAGTGTTACACTATTACATTCTGATGATATCATTAGATTATTATGACTCATGCATTAATGTAAAAGCAGGATTTGACTGTTGTAGTTGGTTGAGGTGGAGCTCATTTTTACAACCTTATTCTGTATAGGACTGGAACTAATGATTATATTTATCATGGATTCATCTGCTCATTATTTTCCCCATTAATCGATTCATTGTGTGGTTTGTAAAATGGTTTGTATGTGGAAATAGGGAGAAGTGTCGACAGCCCCCACTGCTTGTTCTGTCCAATCAATAGTTCTCAATAAAACCTGATAGAAGCGACTGTTACTGTAGCGTGACGTGTCATTGGCACGAGTGGCTGTGTACCTGACGGCCTCGGCCACATTGTTGGAGGTGTGTCCTGACAGGGCGTCGTGTAGGTTCCTGATGAAGTAGTCTCTGTACTCCTCGGGCAGAGCCATGAAGGTCCCGCCCATCACGATGAACTCCACCTTGTCCACGCTGTGACCCAGCTGCTTCAGCTGCACATCACGCACAAAACACAGTGCTCAGGCATGTTATCGGCTTGGGGGTACAGCCATTACAGTTATTACGACTGATCGTAATATCTTGCGAAACAAATTAGAGTTATACTTTAAAAAGGAACTGCGCAAAAATGGATGAAAACCGAAGAGAAGCGAAGATTTCTACATAAACTGTTACTTTAATGAAGAACTTGCTCTGCTGCATTAGACTAATGTGGCCCTAAATTAAAATAACGGCGCAATTGGGATCAGATCTCGGCAGGCGGGTAAAAGCCACAACACTCATTACTGTGTACTAAATCTATTATCAATAGTTATGATTTATACATATGCAGACAAAGACTATCACTGCTTACTTTAGTGTGAAGCCACTAAATTGTTTTTTTTTTTGAGTGATGGTAATACCAAGTCAAGACTAAATTGAAGGGCCAATAATAATTAAATAGTTCTTTCTATTTGGACATTTAAAAAAGGCTGTTACACTAATCCAGGCGTGTTAAAATAAAAGCATGTAAAATCATTTCTGTATCTGCAGGGTTTCACTGACCTGCTCCACCCGATGTCTGGTCTGAAGGTAGGGATCGTAACGTGCTCGGATCGCTCTCATGGATGTTGGCTATCAGAAACAGAGAAAGTGATTCAAAACAATTGTGAAAAACTATATCTTAAAAGTCAGTGAATCCGCTTGACCTTTATCTGACTTGAGAAACTGGACGACTAACTGTAAATACTGCAATGACACAGTGAAAACACAAATACTAAAGACACAACAATAAGAGTAAGCAATTTATCAAAGTTATGGATAATGTCACTGTAAGCGGGGGGAGTTTGCAGAGCGGTAAGCACATTTTTTAAAATGGATTAAACTAGCTTACCTCGTAGCCGGTGTAAGACTGTGTGGAGTACTCAAAGTCTGAGTCTGGTCCACCAGGACAGTAGCTGCCAGAGCAGATAATGTACGTGTTAGATTGAACATAAGAACAAGAAATCAATAAACTTTACATACATTTACAAAATCATATCCTGCTCATGTCTACAGGAAAACCTAAATAAATGTAATTAATTATCTACAACAAAGTAGTCAACACTTACACACAGATGTTGCCTGTAAAGCTGATGTGGGGACATCGATGTGGTTTGCACATCACAGCCACGACTGCGATCTGCGACAGAGACGGAAGCACTGAATAGATGAGCTATTCTTACAATAGAAATAAGATGCCTGTTGTTCAACTTTCACACTTTCATAAACATAATCTGTCCAGAGACAATCTCAGCAATCAGCGTCTCTTTTAGCGCCATAAACGTGAGGCTCCATCACTGAGCCGGTATCCACCTTCATCCTGTCACACTGTACGTCTGTTAATCAATCAACACCTCGAGGAATCTATCTGGAAACTGTGAGGAAATAATGTGAAGTTTAACAGCAGACGGACGAGCCAATGGCACTGCGTGTGTTGAGGGACACTTCTTTATGCGACTGCTGTCTGTCTGGCGTTACTTCAGAAATCTACTAGGTTACATTACACGTGGTACATTTCAACTGTTTGGTAAACTGCTGACAGACAGGAACCTGAGGTCTATACGTACCCCGCTGGCAGTGCGGATGGGTTTGGCCTTGAGTTTGGGCACCAGAGCACGACGGTATTGGGGTGGAACGGCGGCGATGATGTCGACCAACCGAGGCTGGGCTTCAAGTCCGTATTTAGCTGAAGTCTTAGTCTTCACTCTTTTGAAAACAAATAACAACCATTTCACTCTCATTCCTTCAAATGCTGGAGTCAGAGCTCTTTAATTTTATTAGAAATGCTTCAACCAACAGCTGACAGCTTTTAAGGCCATGGCACATCAGTTATGTTGTTTAATTTAACTGTTGTATTGACATACTGCTGAAACAATAGTTTAAAAAGGTAACACTCCACAATCAGCCAGTTATCTGCAGTAAACATAATAGCTGACTTACTTTTTAAAACTGCTGCTAAGCTTTAAAAAGGATTTATCATATGACTGAAGACGGACATGACGACAAATCAACAGACAAACTTTACTGCGTGACTCTTTATAAGTCTTAGGCTCTGCATTATTTTATAAATGTGTAAAAATAGATTTTATATCCTGTGTAATCTGTCCACAACGAGAGTTTCCATACATATAACTTGTATAATGGTGTAAAGAAAGGCTGGTGGTGTGTAGTTCAAACCAGAGGCTGAATGTCTTTACTGCTGAAGACTTACTTGTTGAGATTGATGTCTTTGCCATCTTCATGGGCTTCAACCAGCTGCTTGATGACATCAGCAATGGTCATCATCATCAGCTCGGCTCGGCTGAGGTCACCTGCCAATCACCAATAATCAATACAGTCAGATTAACACAGTAAGACACAGAATTCAAAAGGAAGTAACCTGGATACAAACTCCAGCTGGAGCTAATGTGAGCTACAGTCCACACAGCCGTCGGTAACTGGCTGGATTAAGGCTTTAGAGTACAGTGTTTTCGAAACAGAACTAAACAACAACAATAACTGAACACTTGTACACACAGTCATATCGCTGTCATCACATCAACAGACGGAGGCAGACTTTAAGTTAGCATTAGCCACAAGCTACAGACAGTCTGAGCCGTTTACAAAGCCGACTCAGATGTTTTAAACACTCACTCTTTTTCTTTGGCTTCCCCATTTCTTCCTTTAGACACACAGTCCACTTTACAACGGTTGGACGCGGGTTTGAAGCATTACATCAGTCCTTTAAGCCGACAGAGCTGACCAACTAGTAAACAACTAGTAAACAACTCCACGTTGCGTCCGAACACGGCTCCTGTCGTACGGCGACAGAAACTGTCGTAAAATAGCGTAAACGCGTCTTTTCCAGGATTAAACCGCCGATAATTGAAGTCTCTCCAAGGGTCAAAGCGTAAACTCGTACCACAATGTTACCACCGATGTATCCGTTTATTCAGCATGAACTGGGCACATTTTAGTTATTTTTTTCCTAACATGTTATTGGACTCATCTCTCTTGAAGGAGAAGCGCAGACTTGCAGTGCTTGTGCATCCACACGGTGGCGCTGAATCTCCTCTCAAACCCAGTGTGTGCAGCTCGGAGCGCAACCGGGCAACAGGGAGCTCACTAAGTCTCACAGCAAATCCCTTTAGTGCGAGCTGACATGGCCTGACGGGTCTCTGCGGGAAGGTTCAGGAAATGCAACAGGTGGAAGAGCCGAGGGAATGAACTGTGTACGGCCGTGAGTGGTTTTTGGACTTTACAAATAGAAACCAGGGTGACACGGCACACTGTACGGGGGTCGGTTACATTTATCAGCGGTCATTATGAAAATATTTGACCCCTCTCTCTTTCTCTCTCTC